TATATATATATTACTGTATGTTTTGCATGTCTATGTACCAATAAACATGACCTTATGTATTTAAAAAAAAAATTTTTTTACAGTCTATGGCTTTTACAGTGTATTTGCGGGTTGCTTTCAAAGTGCTGTAAAACTGGGACAGACACCAAAAACGTTCCGGTTACTAACGTAACCTCGGTTCCCTGAGATAAGAGAACAAGCGATGTGTATGGGTAAACTCCTGTTTACTCTGTTACTGAAGCCTGATTTGTTCACGTTTGTGTGGCTGCACAAACCAATGGTGCTTTAGCCCACCAGAAAGGGCGGAGCCGACATGTATATAAGTCGGCTAGCAGCGGCATTTCATCAGAATCATTCGACTGAAGCGACAGTCATCGATTTGTGTGCAGCTTATAGCATGGCAAGTGACACAACGCTTGTTCCCTTATCTCAGGGAACCAAGGTTACATCAGTAACCGGAGTGTTCCCTTTCGTATGTTCGCTTCACGTTGTGTATGGGGAACAAATCCAATCAAGCCGTGCTATGAGCAGAAGCAGACTCACACCTATGGGGCATTGCAAACCTTCTGAGGCATAAGCCAAGGCTATAGCATCAATTATCCAGTGGGATAGACTTTGCTTTGTAACCGGTAGCCCCTTAGAGCGGCCTCCAAAGCAAACGAAAAGCTACTCCGACTGTCTGAACAGGCTGGAGCGTTCAAGATATATTCTCAGGGCCCTGACGGGGCAGAGAACATTGGGACCCTGCTCACCATCTGCAGCGGGGAGCGCCAGAAGGGTAATTACCTGGACTCTGAACGGAGTTGAGAGCACCTTCCGAACATATCCATGTCTAGGCTTGAGGACAACTTTAGAGACGCTAGGCCCAAACTCCAGAGAGGAAGCACTGATTGACAGTGCTTATACGTCACCCACTCGCTTGACCGATGCTAGTGCCAGTAGCAGAGCAGTTTTCGGCGACAAAGGGCATAGTTCGGCCGAATGTAGTGACTCGAGGGGAGGACCCCATAGGGCCCTATGGACTATTGACAAGTCCCAGATCGGTACGGTCTGAGGACGAGGAGGGTTTAATCTTCAGGCGCCCTTCAAGAAATTAACAATCAGATCATTTCTGCTGATCGAATGGCCAGCTTCGCGGGAATGATTCACTGCGATAGCTGCCAAGTAAACTTTGAGTGTGGAAGAGGCACACCCGTTGTCCAACAACTCTTGTAGAAAGGATAACACGTGGGACACATCACAAGATACCGTGTCCAGGCTTTGTGCAGTACACCAGTCACAAAAGACTGACCATTTGAGGGCGTAAAGGTGTCTTGTAGACGGTGCTCTAGCCTCTAAAATGGTATCACTCACTCTCGCTGGGAGCTGTGTAAGCTCCCGTCGAG